GGTAGCGCACGCCTGTAGTTCCAGCTACTTGGAAGGCTGAGGCGGAAGGATCACTGGAGCCCAGCAGGTCGAGGCTGTGGTGCACTCCAGTCTGGACGACAGAGTGAGACTCCAACTCAAAAAAACAAAAAACTAAAGGAGACTTAGGATCATCCTATATTACTTTTCTATTGCTGCTTTTACAAACTACCACAAAATGGGTATGTTAAAACAACATAAATTTATTTTCATACTGTTCTATAGGCCAGAAGTCTGCAATGAGCCTCACTGGGCTAAAATCAAAGTGTTGGCAGTGCCAAGTTCCTTCTGAGGGCTCTAGGGAAAAACTTACTTCCTTATTTTTTAGAGACTGCCTGCATTCCTTGGCTTATGGGCCCCTTCCATCTTCAAAGCCAGCAATGGCCAGTTGAGCCTTTCTCATGTTGCATCACTGACTCTCCCACCTCCCTCTTTCACTCATAATGACCCTTGACTTATAATAACATTGGACCTACTGGGTAGTGCAGGATAATCCCATCTCAACGTAGATGATTAGCAGCCTCACTTCCGTCTGCGATCTTAGTTTCCCCTCACCATGTAACATAACATAGTCATGACCTCCAGAGACTGGGACAGGGAGGTCTTTGGGGAGCATTTTTCTGCCTACCATAATCTATATCCAGTACCTTTGCCACATAGTTCCTTATCTTCTCAGTTACAATTAATTTACCTCTATTCCACTTTAGTCACTTGTGGTCACATTTTAGACTTTTTCATTGCTCAAAACTGTCAATTCTGAGGTCTTAAATTACAGAATTTTATTTTCTGGTCACTATTTCTAAGCCTTCTGTACTTGAGGACTAGATTATAAAGACCTTATTTACTAGGTGAAGTAGTCTGAATTGAATCCTGAGCAAAGTGGGAAGTCAGTAGAGTTTCATCAAGGAAAAAAAAAAAAAATCAATGATCCAAAGCCAAGGAAACCAGCCTTTAAATATGGAAATATTGAATTAGTGATATGTCTTAAATACTAAAACCTCTTTTCCCTTATTATGATTTTTATTAGAAAAATGAAGAGGGGACGCATGGACCCTTAGGAGATAATGAAGAGATGATCAGAGTATCTACTGACAAAAAACAGGTGAATTGTTATGATTTCTTTAAAAAATACATGCTTATAATAACAAAAAGCAAAAGGAATAGTATAAAGTAGAATAAACATTCCTTGTATACTCAAGTTCCACCTTTCTACTCCCAAAGGTACAGATGGGATTATATTATAGTATGCTTCAAAATTTTGCTTTCAAAAATTTTTGGTTTTTATTGACCCATGACACCCTCTAATATTAGTTCATATAGTTGTGTTGAGAAATACTCTTCCTTTGTTCTCTCACACTCCTACACATCTTGCTGGTTATGCCAATATTGTAAACCCTATATGCTACTTACCCGGGCCATTTCTCAGAGTTGTATTTGCAGTGAATAGCCTTGAGGATTGAGGTAATGTGTCCCTCTGCACAAGGAGCAAATTGGTTTACTGTTTACTGTGCCTGAGTAGGAAGCCCAAACCTGATGTTCCCTTCTTGTAACCTGCTATGTATCCAGGCAACCATCTCTGTCCATCAGCATTACCCATCATGGAGCTTGAGGACAAGGAAACAATTACATACATGAATGATGTTCATACTGTTTGCTGTGCTGTGAATATTAAAGTCCTTTGTTTCTGACCCAGTAATTTCTTGTCTTCTGCTAATATTCATGAAACAGTAATAGGTTAACTTATTAGTTGGTAAGTAGGGTAAAAATCAAAACCCAGTCCTGAAAGATGTTCCTTTAATATTGCCTAGTATTTCCTTGTAACTTTAATCTTTTGAGTTTTCCAGAGATTCTGACTCAATGGGTGTGGAGCAGAGACTTAAGCATGTTTATTTTGAAAAGGGTTACCTTGATGATGTACTTTCCTGGAGATTTTCTGATTAGTTCTAAGAGTGAGTCTCTAAAATGCCCGGCAAGAATATAGAAATAATTTCTCTCAAAATATTTTGATGTTTTCACTATAAAAAAGCAAAGAGAAAAAAAAAAACAGTGAGTCACCATTTAATTAAATGCACTAGTTCACATACAAAACAGACTGTCCTCTTTTGCCCATGTTTTAGTGTACAACTTTGTGGCTGGGTTTACATATATAACTTGCCCAAATGTTAGTGAAGTGAAGCAAAATCAAGATCCAGAGCAGTGATACACTGAAAAGATTCAATCTTCTGGGAGTTGCAGTAGGTAGAAGTGCAGAAATGAAATGCAACTTAGGCTTTTATTTGTCTTGTTTCATGAAATTTAGGATGGAAAAGTCTTTGTCTCAAACTTGATTTTTTGGCCTTAACTAAAAGCACAATGAAAAAAATATTTTTTTCCTGAAGTAAAAAGAACTCTAGACAAAAAAGTGATAAATGTGGCCTAAAATATTTTTCTAATAAAAAGTAGATTGATAAATCTGCTTCTCACTTATTAAGAATACTTTTTAAAAAGTTCTTTTGTGGATATGGTTTCTGGCTTTACTCCTGTCTGCTTAACTACAGAGAGTGCCAAAAAACATGTATATATTTTAAGAAAGGAAAAAATGATATAAAAATTGTAATAATATGTACCAATGACAAAAGATAAATACAGGTCACATTTGACTTCTGCAATTACAAGAGGTGCTCAAAAGTGGTTGCCATCAGTGTCCAGACACTTCTGATTACAGCAGACATCTCTTAATAAAAATGTGCATACAGGCTGGGCGCAGTAGCTCACGCTTATAATCCCCGTACTTTGGAAGGCTGAGGTGAGAGAATTGCCTGAGCCCACTGGTTCGAAACCAGCCTGGGCAACTTGGCGAGACCTTGTCTCTACAATAAATAAAAAAATTAGCTGGACATGGTGGTGTGTGCTTGTAGTTGCAGCTACTTGGAAGGCTGAGGCAGAAGGATCACCTGAGCCCAGCAGGTTGAGGCTGCAGTGGCCGTGAGTATGCCACTGCACTCCAACCTGGGTGACAGAGTGAGACTCCACCCCCCAAAAGAATGTGCATACATTTTTTTTCCTGGCACCCCCAATATTTGTAAAATCTAAATCCAAAACTAAAATCATTCAGTAGCAACCATTTCCACTGGTTACCTTGTTTCAGTTTAACCACATGAGCTTCAGTTTAACATCAAGATCCTTTGAAAAGGCATCATCAGTTCTTTTCCAAAGTGATCTTTTTTTTTTTTTCTTTAATAAACTCGCTGGAAGTATTCAGAAGCAGATAATACCTTATAATTTGTAATTGAGAAACACAAAACTCTTAAGACATTTTAGGATGGGGAAGGAAAAGTGTTTACAAATTCAAGCTTATTTTAAAAGCCAAGTAGATTTTTCATATATGTCAAATATTTCCTCTAAAATGTTTTTATATTTTAGATGTATTCCTAGATATATATCTTATAAAGGAAAGATTTTTATATTCCTTTTAAATATCTTTATAGTTTAGAAGATGGTTGTTTAACTCTAAAAGGGAAATCATAAACTCTTCTCTATTACTTCTTTTTAGGAATTTCACAAGATATGAAACTCCATAGCTTGAAATGTTTATACTCAATACTGAAACTGAAACTTGACTATTTTAGTTAATATAGCTTTGATCTGATTATTAAAATGATTTCAGATATGTTGTATTGGGGGATAAGTACAAGGTAAAATCCCTTCGGAGGGGATGAGGAGTAAGGGACACCCTCACCTCAATCCAAGTTCCCCTCATGTCAAAACAATCAGTCCTAAACTCAAGAATTGCATTCCTGATTTCAGAATCTTGTTGTGAAAACAGCATAAGCTATTTTGTGCCTTAAATAGAACTGATTTTTTAAACTTAGTCCGTTTTGTCAGATATTAATATTGTTACACCAGCTTTTTTTTATTAGTATTTGTATAAGTTGGGAACTTTAGGTTCAAAGTTACAGAAAACTTTCACTCAAAGAAGTTCACTGTAACTCCTTAGAACCTCACCCAGTCTCCATCCTATAGGACTTAAATTGGGTTCAGTCTAATTTTCTCTCTGTGGAATACTGTGGAGATCACTCAAGCTAACTGCTCTGGTATTGAGTTCTCTCTTCCTTTCTGACACCTAAGGGTACATCTTCCCCTTTTTGTTGTTACAACTTATATTTTTATTTGTAGTAGGTAGGACCCAACTACATTAGTTGAGAATTGCCATAGTGCTAATAATCTTTCTTTTAATCATATTTAAAATATTTCAGAATTTTAGATGACCTCTGCTTTAATTCTGCCTTTTACTATCTGTGGGTTTTTCAGAAAGTCGTATAAACTTTCTGGACTTTACTTACCCATGTGCAAGACAAGAGTTTTTCAGAATTGTATTACCATCTAGAAGCTTACTAAATAGTTCTAGTCTAGATACTATAAGAAACAAGTCAAATTGAACTGGTTTTTGCTCTTTACTAGGTTAAAATATATTCCTCTTTCACTAGAACAGATTAATGATAATTACATGTTTAACTATTTTCATTAGTAGAGCCTAGGTTTAGAAAATTTGTGGTCTAAAGGCAATACTAAACTTTCAGAAATATTTGTGGATCAAATGAGAAATGTGCTTTGTACAAACTCTATTTGAATAAAAAACTAAACAAAGCTTCATTTTATTAATACATCAAGTATAATCCATGATATAATCATTAGGTGTTATAACTAATACGTTATTTTGTATCTTAATGTAGGTGAAGAGAACTGGTCTTGTGGTGGTGAAAAACATGAAAATTGTTGGTCTCCATTGTTCTAGTGAAGATTTACATGCTGGGCAAATTGCTCTTATTAAACATGGGTCAAGACTGAAAAACTGCGATCTTTATTTTTCCAGAAAACCATGTTCTGCTTGTTTGAAAATGATTGTAAATGGTGAGTGCATTTATTTGAGAACAATCAATAGGAACAAATTTGCTGAATACCACAGAGATAATTTAGAAACGTAAAATATACCTGAAAGCTGGTTGCATTAGCTCATGCTTGTAATCCCACCTACACAGGAGGCTGAGGCAGGAGAATCACTTGAGCCCAGGAGTTCCGGCCCAGCCTGAGAACATAGGGAAACCCTGCCCTGTCTCTAACAAAATAAGAAAAAATTACCAGGCATGGGGATGCATGCCTGTGGCCCCAGCTACTCAGGAAGCTGAGGTGGAAGATCACTTGAGCTCAGGAGTTTGAGGCTACCGTGAGCTATGATCACTTCACTGTACTCCAGCCTGGACAACAGAATGAGACCCTGTCTCTAAAAACTAAAATAAAAAATATATGAATATATATCAGAAGACAGTTTTACACAGTATAAGAGGAAGAGTCAGAAAACAAGGATTCCAGTCTTAGCAATGTCCACTAACCAGATAAATGACCTTAATGTATTAATAGACTAATGTTAGCTGCTATAACAAATAAACCGTCAAACTGCAGAGGCTTAATTACTGATATTTGTCATTGATACAACAGCCCAGCACATGTGTTACTGAGCAGCAGGTGGCTTTTCTTCATGTAGTTGATTCATGGGCCTAGGTATTTTCTGTCTTATTACTATTGTTATCTCTAGGGCCTTGAGTCCTCTGCATGCAGAGGCACACAGAAAGAAAGGTCAGAGGGAGTGTACCTGCTTCTTAAAAACCCTGGCCTAGAAGTCACATATGTCATTTCTGTTCATTTATTATGAAAACCATAGTCCCTGGCTGGGCAATTGTCTATCTTTTCTTTTTTTTTTTTTTTTTAGTTGGAGTCTCACTCTGTCGCCCAGACTGGAGTGTAGTGGCCACTCGGCTACCACAGCCTCGACCTGCTGGACTCCAGCGATCTTTCCGCCTCAGCCTTCTGAGGAGCTGGAATTACAGGCATGCGCTACCACGCCCGACTGATTTTTTTACCTATTTATTGTAGAGATGAGGTCTCGCCAAGTTGCCCAGGCGGGTCTCGAATCCGCGGTCTCTGGCAATCCACTCACCTCAGCCTCCCAAAGCGCGCGGGATTACAGGCTGAGCCACTGAGCCCGGCTGGCTGTTGTCTTTCAATGACTACTCTACACTTTGGAAGGAAGAGCACAAATTTTTAATGTATAAACATCCATCTCTGCCACACTGGGCAATTCAACAAACTTCTTTATGCCTACAATTCTATTGTGCACCCAGGTTAAGTATGCAGACCACTCTTCCATTAAAAAAAATGTATCATGGGGAGACACCTCTTATCAACAAGGGTGCCTGAATGAAGCATATTTGTATACCTAACCCTTAACTGTACCCCACAATATCCTAATAAAAAATATTGATTATAAAAAAGATAAATTTAAAAAATTAATTAAAAAATGTGTCATGTATTTAGGTATCATAGTGATACCTTTTTTAAAAGTGTGGTTCCTAATTATTACACTCAAGTGTTATCTGGGGGCCAAAATAACAATTTACTGTAATACATTATCCAAATAAGTCATACAGACTGTAAGTGATATATGATTTCAGAGGAGAAACTGATCCCTGATGAAAGGCTGGGTCTTCAGCTAGATCTTGATGGGTCAGAGTATGAGGGAGAACTCCCCCCATAACTGAAATTATCATTTGGAGGGCAGGCCCCTTGTAGTACCGGCTTCCCTCACTAAGTAAGTAAGTAAGTGTTCTAGGAACCCATTGGCATCAGTGTACCAGCTAGTGTCATTAGAGGCTGCATTTGGCTTCAGTGATTTTTTTTGGAGATTCTTTCAACCTTTTGCCCATTTCATAATGAATGATTTACTGGCATGCCTGCCCACACCTTGCTGAGTGTGCATCAGTTTTTGACCAAAAACAGAATGTCCCCTGTGCCCCACCATCCCTATTCACCCAGTCTTGCCCTCAGCAACTTTATTTTGTTTTTTTGAATGAAAAAATTCCTCAAAAGGAAATATTTTGCTATGTGGAGATCATGAAACAAAAAATGGCAGAAGCACTAAAAGACATAAAAATTGACAAGTTCAAAAACTGTTTTGAGTAGTGGAAAAAGCCTCTCCATTAGATGTATTGCATCAAAGAGAATACTTTGAAGGTGACTAAGTTTAAACACATAAGAATAAATACACAATTTTTTATAAATAAATTCCAAATTTTGGGGGTCTCCTCTTTGTACAGGAAGAGGAACACATTCCTGGTCAGGGGAACAGCACATGTGGAATCATCAAGTTGTAGGAAGTAAGGTTACAAAGATCCATATGTGAAGTGGAGGATTATTCTTGGAGAGTAGTGGCAGATAGATTAGTGGAGTACTTCAACAAACTGTATGATCCCTGGACTCTGTCTCATATAACAGAGTTCTAGACATGTTTTGAGGAAGAGCTATTTTTATTTTATTTTATTTTTTTAATTTTGAAGATGGGTACAATTCAGGGTTAGGTATACAAATGTTCATTATGCAGGTACTGTTGTTGATGAGGTATGCCCTTCCCCCCGGCAGTTTCCCACTACTGCCAATCCTGCCACCACTCCCCAGCAGTTTCCAACTACTGCCAATCCCTTTTCTTATAATATTATGATAATCGTTTAAAGTCCTCTTATGAGTGAGAACATGTGATACTCAGTTCTTTGTTTCTGTGATAGATCACTCAGTATTATAGACTCTAAGTCCATCCCAGTTGTTTGTCCTTCTTTATGGCTGCATAATATTCCATCATGTATCTGTACCACCTTTTTCTAATCCACCTCTCTTTTTGGTCAGCACGGTTGGTTCTATGTTTTTGCTATTGTGAATAATGCTGCAGTAAACATGTGTGTGAAGGTATCTTTTTCATAAGAATGATTTGAGTTCCTCCAGGTATATTCCTAGTAGCAGAATTGTGGGGTCATGTGGAAGGTCAATTTTTAGATATTTTAAGAATCACCACACTATTTTCCACAGAGACTATACTAGCTTACATTTCCACCAACAGTGTAGAAGTGTTCCCTTGTCCCTGCATTCTCTCCAGCATCTGTTGTTTTTTGAGTTATTGATGATGTCCATTCTGGCTGGAGATAGGTGGTATCTTAATGTGGTTTTAACTAGCATTTCTTTGTACATCAGAGTCTTTTTTTTTTTTTTTTTTGAGTTGGAGTCTCACTCTGTCACCCAGACTGGATGCAGTGGCTGCTTCCGGCCACCGAAGCCTTGACCTGCTGGGCTCCGGCGATCCTTCCGCCTCAGCCTTCCAAGTAGCCGGAATTACAGGCATACACTACCACGCCCGGCTGATTTTTTGATTTATTGTAGAGATGAGGTCTCGCTGCCCAGGCGGGTCTTGAACTCACGGGCTCAGGCAATCCACTCACCTCAGCCTCCCAAAGGCACGGGATTACAGGCTAAGCCACCGAGCCCAGCTTGTACATCAGAGTCTTAAGAGATGATCAGATCCATATCAAGGTCAGTGCCTTGAACCATAACTGATAGAACTTCTAGAAAAAATGAGTCATGTAGTTAGAATTCTCCTGGCCTGGTGCTTGCTTCGGCAGCACATATACTAAAATTGGAACAATACAGAGAAGATTAGCATGACCCCTGTGCAAGGATGGCATACAAATTCATGAAGTATTCCATATTTTAAAATATTCTATGCTCATGGATAGGAAGAATCAACATTGTTAAAATGTCCATCCTTTGAAAGGCAATCTGCGGATTCAATGCAATACCCATTAAGTTACCAACATCATTCCTCTCAGACCTGGAAATGACAATACAGAAATTCAGATGGAAACATAAATGACCACAAAGAGCCAAAACAATCCTTAGCAAAAGAAACAAAGCAGGAGGTATCACACTTCCAGACTTCAAACTTTACTATAAGACTACATTAATCAAAACAGCCTGGTATTGGTACAAGAAGAGGCATATAGACCAATGGAACAGAATAGAGATTCCAGAAGCAAAGCCTCAATTTCTCAACTAACTCATCTTTGACAAAGACTCCAACACCAACCAGTGGGGAGAGAAGAACCTATTCAGTAAATGGTGCTGGGAAAACTGACTGATCACATGCAGAAGATTGAAACAGGAACCCTACTTATCACCATACACAAAAATTAACTCTAAATGAATCAAAGACCTAAACGTAAAATCTCAAACTATAAGAATCTTAGAAAATGCAAGAAATTGGAAATTGGAACTGGCAACCAATTCCGGATCAGAACCCTAAGTGTCTGTACCATAAGAAATAACATAGACAAGTGGGACCTCATCAAACTAACGAGCGTCTGCAAAGCAAAAGAAACCATCAAGAGAGAAGGAAGACAGCCCACAGAATGGGAAAAAATATTTGCCAACTGTATATCTAGCAAAGGCCTAACATCTAGGATCTACAAGGAACTCAAACACGCCGAAAGGAAAAAACAGCCCCGTTAAAAAGTGGTCAAAAGACATGAATAGACACTTCTCAAAAGAAGATATACGGACAGCTAACAGACACATGAAAAAGTGCTCAGCCTCACTCATCATCAGAGAAATGCAAATCAAAACCACATTGAGAAACCCCCAACCCCAGTAAGAATGGCCATCGTTGATAAAACAAACAACAACAGATGCTGGCGAGGATGCGGAGAAAAAGGAACGCTTCTACACTGCTGGTGGGAATGTAAACTAGTGCAACCTCTTTGGAAGACAGTGTGGCGATTTCTGAAAGAACTAGAAATTGACCTTCCATATAACCCAGTGATTCCCCTATTGAGAATATACCTGGAGAAACTCAAATCATTCTACAAAAAATATACCTGCACACATATGTTTGTTGCAGCTCTGTTCACAATAGCAAAAACATGGAACCAACCATGCTGCCCATAAAAAAAAAAAGTGGTACATATGCACAATGGAATATTATGCAGCCTTAAAGAAGGACAAACATATGGACTTTGAAGCAACTTGGATGGATTTAGAATCGATTATACTCAGTGATCTATCACAGAAACGAAGAACAGAGTACCATATGTTCTCACTTATAAGCGAACCTTGAACAATTATCATAATACTATAAGAAAGGGTTTGGCAGTAGTGGGAAACTGCTAGGAGTGGGGGAGTGGGATTGGCAGTTGAGGGAAACTGCTAGGGGAGGGAGGGGCACATCTCATCAACTAAGGTACTGCATAATCAACATGTGTATATCTAACCCTGAGTTGTATCCCACATCTTAAAAAGAAAGAAAGAAAGAAAGAAGCCTCCTGGCCTGCAACAAGTATTTCAAGCCGGTAGGGTTCTGTGATAGTGATTTGATTATATCTCTCAACTGCAGTTAGCAATAAATAGAGAAGACAGGTATAATAGTAGTAGTGACATTTTTCCCTCCTTTTCCCAGTTAACCAAGTAGATTGGACATTCATTTTATCACGTGTGTTCAACTGACCTGAAAATTCCTATTTATAGGTAATGTGGAGCCACTGAAGACTTTTGAGTAGCTTGTGCATGATTGGAATTGTTATTGTTATTGAATTGGAGCAAAGAGAGATTAGAGCCTATTGCATTAGGCCGTGTGTAAAATACAGTTCAGATGGCGGCATTGATACAGTGTTATGACCAGAGTGCGAGAAGGTAGATTGCCATTACACAGAGAATTTAATTAAAAGTCCTTTATTTATGCCAGCGACCAAGAGCCTACTATTGTCCGAAAGGACTTTCAGCTCCAAGTGAAACAAGTGGTGGGCTTATAAAGGCAAAAACTGCAAGGATACATAACAGCTTAGCAACTATAGCAACCATAAACTAGCAACTTAGCAACCAAAATGGGAACTTTTGATTGTTAGGAAGTTTTGATTAACTTTATGTTCCAGGCACAGCCGGTGACTGGAACAATTAGGGCAGTTACATGGAGACAAAATGGAAGGACTACTATACAATGGAGTTTCCTTGGTTAGGTCATGGAGTACCTTGGTTACATCACTAACAAAATATAGGTTTATAATATGAGAATGTAACAATAGAGTTTTGCAAGGCGTAGCATTTGAGTTTAGTTAACAAAGCATACAATTACATGGAACTTGTGGCTAGGGAGTTTCCAAACGGTCAGGAGAAACAGTTTATGGGAAACAGGACTATGGGTCTGTGAGTACAAGGAACTTATTTTAGTCACACGCAGTGGGGGGGGAGTTGTTGTTATATCTGGGTAGCAAGCAGCTAAGATGGAGTATTTTTTTTTTTAATGCAGTTACTTATATTAAGCAAGCTATTACAGGCTATTATAAGTTTTACAGACATTTCAACAGAAATGAAAGAACCAAAACATTTGTTGACTGTTCCAGAGTCAAGGGAGAAGAATAAATAAAAGATAGTTTTAGTTTTTGTGCTGAGCTAACTATGCTGAAAGTACTTTTAATAGCCTCAAGCCAAGAATTAGAGAAGAACAGGGGAGTTCAGCTAACTCACCACTGTTTGAGTTAAGACTTTTCATTCTGGTAAGAGAGTTAATGAAGTGTGAAAAATCAGGAAAGACATACAGTGGACATGCTTTTATGTTGGTGCTAAGCCAGTATATAAACAAAATTGCTATGTTAAATTAGGCTTACATATTAAATGGTTATCTTGGGAAGAGTGCATTGTTGGACCCCATGCTATAACCAAATTAGTTGCAGTTATCATTACTTCAGTTACAGAGCAAACATTTCTGTATTCTGTAGCACAGTGGTTCTCGAGATGTGCTCTGTGAACTCCTGATGATCAATGCTGTTTGCATAACACTGCATTCGCATTGATGGTACCAAAATAATGGTTAGTAAAACTACTGTTGCTGAATCATGAGTCAAGGCATGATACCACGTTGCACTGGTCGTTATTGTACTCTATTGCACTCAGGAAAAAAAACCCAGTTTTACATAAGAATGTCCTTCATGAAACAGTAAAAATTATTAATTGTATTGCATCCTTTTTAATAGTCTGTGTGAGGAAACAGGAGGTGAACATAAAGCACTTTTGCTACACACCTAAGTATGAAGATTGCCTTAAGAAAAACCATGTGATTGTTTGCATTGTGAACTGAATTATCCACTTTTATCATGGGACACCATGAATTGACAAACTAAGTTTATTTAGATTGGATATTTGGCAGACATTTTCTTGAAAATGTAGTGAACCTTTCACCAGGAAAACAACTGACAGTATTTGTTGCCAGTGAGAAAATTTAAGCTTTCAAATGAAAATTGGAATTTTGGAAAACTCGTGTTCACCATTATGAGCTTGAAAACTTCTCAGTATTTAGACTCTTGATGAGATTGGTGGTGACATTAATGAATAGGATTTTTTAGTAAATCAATGGCTTATTTTTTTCAAAATTCAGATGACCAATGCTACAAAATCATATATGGGCAAAAGACAATGCAAGAGAGACCAGTGGGCTTTAACAAAACTGTACATAAAGTTTGTCAATATGGCTTCAAATTCCTCATTGTAACTAAGCTTTAAGAAACTATCCCTTGTCAAATGTTTATGTAGTGTCAAGGAAGAATATTTGAAATGGATATTAAAATATTCCTTCTTCAACTACAAATCTGTAAGAGACTAGATATTTTTCATATACTTCAATGAAAACAGATTGCAACAGATTGAAAGTAGAAGCAGATTTGAGAATCCAGCTGTCTTCTATTAAGCCAAACATTAAAGATATTTGCAAAAAATTTAAAACAGTGCCATTCCTCTCACTAATTGATGTTTTGGAAAATACAAGCTTAAAAATAAAGCTATGTTATTGATGTTAATGTGTAATAGGTTCTTTATTGCTATTTTTAATGAATTAATAATTTAAAATTTTGTTTTGATGTTTGAATACAGTATCAATAGATATATTCCACATAAACAAAAGCTCATTATTGTCCTCAGTAATTTTTAATATAATGGTTTAAAGGGATTTGAACATCAAAAAATTGAGAACCTCTGCTGCAACCTTTGCCACTAGTCCATTTGTCTAGAGAGTATTCATCCCCTCTTCTCCTTGGGTCAGGATTACTGGGAGCAACAAAGATGATTAGATGAAAGGCTCACCATCACTGCTGGTTAGAAAATGGATTATGAGAACTTGAACTGAGGGAAGGGGAAATGCAACCAGAGGAAGCACACTCTGATATGAGCTTTGAGGCCTTCAAAATTGCTTTTCAGCCAAGCCATAGTGAGTCAGGAGTGGCAGGGAGTAGATGAAATGTTCATTTGTTTAACTTGACTTTTATTTCAACTACTTTGAAGGGTAGACTGTCCTGTGGGCCATCTGTCTGTTTGCTTCTGGACATAGTCACACACAATAAGTCTCCTCACTGAAATTACATGAGATACTAGGAAAGGGGTCTCTTTGTTGTAAACTATTTACTAATTGATGAACATTTGTGTGCTTAACTATGTATAAGGCATCTCATCATTTAACCTCAAATACAAATTAAAATATTTTTTCATGTTTGTTATCCATGTTTTCTCTTTTACAAATTGTCTATTCATATCTTTTTGTCTCTTTTTAGAACTTATTATTCTTGTCAATTCACATGTGCTCTTAATAAATTAAAATCTTTTCTGTATATTAAAGATAACTAACATTTCCTCTGTCATATTGATTGAAAAATGTTCCTTTTAGTTTGTTGTTTTGTCTTAATTTTGTGGACTTAAAAAAGTTAATATTGCCTCCCAACACCACCCAATGTCACATAAGAATTTTTCCATGTTATAAATTATTTGTGGACATTTTCATAACTATTATATTTTATTATGAGAGGACTATAATTTGTTTAACCATTCCCCTATTTTGGTCACCTAGATTTTTGGGTTTTTTTTTTTTTACATTTTTACTGTTTCAAAGAATGCTGCTCTAAACTTGAATAATGCATGAACTTTATTCTCTCCATTTGGAATATTTTCCTAGAATGGCTTCTTGGAAGAATTCTGAGTTTGAGGATAGAAATACTTTCAATGCATGGATGAATTATCTATTCCAGATACAAACTCTAGGCAGTCTCAGTTGTTGACTGTACCATTTCTAAAAGCATCCATGGCTCCATAGAGGACTCTGTGTATATAATTCCAGCACTGGGCTTTGGAATCACATTTAGCAAAATCAGTGATTCCACAGATGCCATCCACGGGCTGTGTTAGAGGTCAACTAACTTTTTTTTTTTTAAGACAAGATAGTAAATATTTTAGGCTTTGCAGGTCATATGGTATCTGTCAGAGCTACTCAACTCTGCTAGGCAAAAGCAGCCAAAGGATGTATAAATGAGTGGGTGTGTCTGTGTTCCAATAAAACTTTACTTATGGAAACTGAAATTTGAATTTCCTATAATTGCATGTATCATGAAATATTCTTCTTTTGATTTGTCCAACTGTTTAAAAGTGCAAAACCTATTCTTAACCCTCAAACTATAAAAATTGGTGATGGACGGTATTTGGCCTATGGGTGGTTGTTTTTTGCCCTTGGGATTTATAATAGGTGACTTGGTAATAGACATTTATTATATTGGGGGTCTCAATCTACCACAATGATAGGGAGGATTTATCAAGAAAACCCTAAATTCAGCATGTATCCAATAATTACCTTTCATATTTTGTGTTTCAGCTGGAGTTAACCGAATTTCATATTGGCCTGCCGATCCAGAAATAAGTTTGCTTACTGAGGCTTCTAGTTCTGAAGATGCAAAGTTAGATGCCAAAGCAGTGGAAAGACTGAAGTCAAACAGCCGGGCCCATGTGTGTGTCTTACTTCAACCTTTGGTGTGTTACATGGTCCAGTTTGTAGAGGAGACTTCTTACAAATGTGACTTTATTCAAAAAATTATAAAAACAGTGCCGGATGCTAACATTGACTTTTATTCTGAGTGTAAACAAGAAAGAATAAAAGAATATGAAATGTTATTTTTGGTTTCAAATGAAGAAATGCATAAGCAAATACTGATGACTATAGGTTTGGAGAACCTGTGTGAGAATCCATACTTTAGCAATCTAAGACAAAACATGAAAGACCTTATACTACTTTTGGCCACAGTAGCTTCCAGTGTGCCCAACTTTAAACATTTTGGATTTTATTGTAGAAATCCAGAACAGATTAATGAAATTCACAATCAAAGTTTACCACAAGAAATTGCAAGGCACTGCATGGTTCAGGCCAGGTTATTGGCATATCGAACTGGTGAGTTTTATGCATAGTTCATAAATTGGGGCTGAATGGTTGGGTTGTATTTGTCTCTGAAGCATAGTGTTCATCTCATGTATGGTAGAGTTCATTTACTCTTGGATACTGAAGGTTTGCTGTTCATATGATACAGAGACGTTAGTGACACCACTGAGTAGACAACTCTATTCCAGCAGTTTCAGGATTCCTTGTGGCCTTATATTCAGTACTACTTTTATACATCAGGGCCTGATTATCTAGGCCCTTCTTTCTGCTGCTTGCTTTTATGATTTCATTGTTCATTAAGCTCCTCACAAAAGACAGGACAAAAAAAGAGAAGAGAGAACCAAAATCATTCGTTTTTGTTAACTTCAATATTTTGTATGTATTCAGTATCTAATAAAAACTTTAGAAAATCTTTAAAAATATGAATTCAAAATCATGAATAGAATCAAGGCAAAAGAATGTTGGTTATTACAGATTCTTCCAATTGCTGGTATGTCTTCAATCAGCAACTTGAGAACATTTTTACTTTATTGTATTAAGTTGTATATGTAGAAAAGGAAAATGTTATTTTGGTTTCTTTATTGTGATAAGATGGCATCTGTATATCCAATTATGGTGCAGTATATTCCATGCAAGATTTTTCAGAGTAGAAACATCACTTTTTAAAATACACCTTTGAAATAAGGTAGGGAAATGCAGGCGGGGGAGCAGTAGAGTAAGATTTGTTTGAGGAGCAGACTGTAGTAGGATCTTTAGGATTTTTAAATTATCCATAGAAAGAAGGAAGAAGAAAAAGAAAATCTCCAGAAAACGTCTGTACAGATCCCACTGGTCTGCAGTATGTTCTAAACAAAGACCACAGGTCAAAGTAAATTCAGTAGAATAGAGGTTCTCAGCTGGCAGCATATCAGAATCGCCACTGAAACTTTTACTATAAATACAGATGCTCAAACCCCCACCCAGGCCTATTAAATCAAGTTCCTACCAAGTGCAGTCTAGGCCTTTTTTTTTTAAAGTTCTGCCAGATATTAACCCTGAGGGTTAATAGTCACTCAATTCTATTAGAGAATTTGACTCTCTAGAAACAAACTTTATGACCCCAAACAACTGTATTGTATGAAAATCTGATTTAATGTAATTATCTTGTATTGGGGTTATATATTAGTCTCCTTGACAAGTCCACCTTTGTAAAGAATTTTTCTGTAAACTACTTAAAAAGATAGAAAACAAATGAGAAGAGCAAGTATAGCTTAAAATTCATGAATTCCACTTCACTAATTAGAATTCAGCAGAACCTTGCCTGTTTCAGAGTAATAGATGTGAATCTCCTGTTCTTACTTGATCTCAGTACCTCTTGTTTCTCATAGAATACCTTGTCTTACCTTCTATGATTCCAATGTTTAAAGATATGTATAGATATATTTACATATTTTTATTAGTTACTCTACTGTGATATTTTATATTATAAATTCATCTACTATTATTGTGCAGAGTTTCATACATAAAGCCCATGATGAGCAATTGACAAGGTTTTTCAAGGTTACTTGTGGATGATTTTTTACCCAGAACTTAAATCTTGAGCTGGATGCAACTCTGCTGTCACACACTGCACTGTATACTCTTTCAGGGAAGAAATCATGTCTTAATCATTTTTTCTTAGCACTAAACAGTGTGTGTTGAATGGTTAAAAGAAATATATATATATTTGAGTTGTAGTCACCCAGGCTGGAGCTCAGTAGCACAATTAAAACTCATCACCGCCTTGACCTCCTGGGCTCAGGTGATCCTTCTGCCTCAGCCTCCCAAGTAGCTAGGACTACAGGTGTGCACCACCATACCCAGCTAATTTTTTTATTTTTATTTTTTGTAGAGACAAGGACTTGCTATGTTGCCTAAGCTAGTCTCAAACTCCTGGGCTCAAGCAGTCCTCTTGCCCAGCCTCCCAAAGTGCTAGGATTACAGGTTTGAGCCACTGTGTCCAGCCATAAATATTTTTACAACCTAGTTAAATGGTGCACAATCCCTTAAAAACCTTTGAGAGGCCATATAGAAAGGAATTCAGAATTTTTCAGATTTTCACAAGGTAATATAGAGCATATATTGTTATATAGCACTCTCAGTGGGGATTGGGACAATACCTGTAATTAAATAAATTAATACATATAGAGTTATTCTTTGCTCTAAGAATAATTAGGAGCTATAAATGATTCAATTTGAGTCAAGTTCGGTCACGAAATAAGTGTACCAAACTGTTAAATTTTTTTTTTTTTTTTTTTTTTTTTACATAAGGGATTTCGGGGTGAGGGATTCTGGACCTGTAATTCTTTACTGATGATAAATTATTACAATGACAATTTATTGAGCACCTCCCATGTGTCAGGCACTGAGATAGGTGATTTATATGTGTATCTCATTTAACACTGACAATCCAGCAAGATGGCTATCCCCATGATATAGCGTGCTTCCCATTACTCAAGCTTGCTTCAGTTTGGTTTGAAGACTTCATTTTGCCCCAATAACAGATGAAGATCATTTCATTAAAATATTTCATTGAAAAATATACATGTAATTAAAATAAATTCTAAAACGTCTGACAACAGAGTAATAAAATGAAAGCAATGACTTAACTGCTTTTTGAATGATGAATAAAGAGGGTCCACAGAGGTATCATTAAAACTATGTTTCTAGACTACTTGGAGGTAGCAAAAGTGACAAAATGTATTTACATGCTTGTAGAAAGAAAGAGTAGGAGAGCTTCACAACCTAGCTAACTGTTTTAAGTATCGAGTTTTGATCTCTGTGTGTCCTGTGTTTTCCAAAGCTAAGAATGATGCCTTCCTTCTGGATGACAGTATCAATGATGAAGTAGACTAGAGTATCCAAGAAAGTAACTGCATTAAATCATAACTCAGAAGTTTTCCAATTTTAGTATGCCTAAGAATCAAGGTGGGAGCTTGTGAGAAATGCAAATTCCCAAGCCCTTCCCACCTTCCTCAAAGGAACTGAATCCCGGCGGAAGCCAAGAGCCTGCCTTTTTAATAAGGATCCAGCAACTTTGATGCAAGTGGTCTGTGAAGCACCTCAGACAAACATTGATATGACCACAGGATTGGGAGCTCAAATAACCACGCCTATGTTCCAGAACAAAGAGTTCCCCTCTGGTTTTCAGTGATCAAAGAGCCCCAGGAATTTGGCTCAGTGATCATAAGTTGACCTTTCCTTCAAAGTTTTACGGAGAAAACTCTCTGACCAGATCATGGGAAGCAATTTCTGTAAGAATTACAGACATGAAAAGATTTTTGAGAAATTTCTCATTTGTCACCATCCTTGGGGCTGAGTGAAATTGACTCCATATTACATGGATTAAAACTTATTCTTTGAAAACATAGGTAGTAAAGAATATTCTCTTGGTGTAACCAACCTTAACTAGGCAGCAAAAACTGCAAGCTGATGGAAAAATCACCTTTTTTCCCCTTCTGACAAGGTTTATTCTGTTCCCAGACTGAAACAAAAAGTGGCTTCTGGGACTAAAATGCATAACATGGAAAATACTTAGTGTTGGTTGGGTGAGGTGGCTCATGCCTGTAATCCCAGCACTTTGGGAGGCTGAGGTAGAGAGATCAGTTGAGCCCAGGAGTTTGAGACCAGCCTGGACAACACAGTAAAACTCCATCTCTACAAAAAATCAAAAAGTTAGCTGGGTGTGATGACACATGCCTCTACTTCCAGCTACTCAGGAGGCTGAGGTGGAAGGATCGCTTGAGCCCAGGAAGTTGAGGCTGTGGTAAAGAGTGATTGTGCCACTGCACTTCAGCCTAGGTGACAGTGAGGCCCCAGCTCAAAATATAAAAATAATAAATAAATAAATACAAGAAATAAAGAAAAAAGAAAACTACTTAGCGTTGATGACAGGAAAAGTTGACCCCTAATAAGAATTTCTATGTGTTTTCATTTTTCACTTTAGATGTATGCAGCAATTAAGTAAAACTTTATTACAGTAAATATTTTGGTTTTGCAGGCAAAAATATCTTATGTTTATAATTTCTGGCACTTGCCTTAGAAATGAGCATAAAGCCATTGATTTATATTCTTGCCTCCGCATATTGAACTCTCAAGGTCTAGCAAGGCACCATATTTTGTTTACACCAAAATCCCTTCCCCTCCGCACTATAGAAGTCAGCTGGCCGTGCTCTCCACCCTCAGCATGTTCACTCCCATCACAGCACAGCACATATGCATTGTGTCCTTGTCACTGTGCTCCTCTGTCATCCAACTGTAAGTCACAAGAGGATGCAACTGTTTCCCTCCCCACTGAATGCTCACAGAACTTGGCACATATGAGGTGCTCGATAAGTGAGACTCTTTGATTAAGCAATTCTTAATGCCAAAAGGGAGAGGGGAGCGGGAGGAAAGGGAAGCAGGTTGGGTCTGGAGGGCTAAGCTTTAGTCACTTAATTTCTGTCACTGTTTTGTTACCTGGAAATGGAAATTAGCTGCTTTACTTATTAGAGTAAAAATGAGATCATGGACAACAAGTGCATATCATAAATTATACAGATGTTTTGTGGCATAATTTTGCAAATCTAAGCTTGCTTGAACTGAGATGGAAAATTTTATTACAGTATCATAATTTTTTAAAGTTAACTTATTTGTAAGGCATCCTAGTTTTTATTGCAATTATGGTACAAATTTTCTTTGTACTTTTTTTGGAAAAGTAGGTATTTATGTTATCATTGGAATGATTAAGTTTTAAGAAATTGTAGGGTGAAGCCAGAGTTTTACTCTAATCCTCCCCAGTGTAAAAATGTCCTAGGTGAGTTCATAGATAGTTGTTATTTTCTCTGTGTAAATGTGCCTACTTAACTGCATTAGTCTCTTATTAAGATTTTGGTAAGTACTATAGTTTTCGTAATTAGTATATATTTGTCTAGAAATTTGAAACTCAACATTGTGTATAAGGAAAAAGTATATCCCTAATATGTAGAAGTTATATTTTGGTTTTTTATTTTCTGTTACAGATTATTGGTTTTAAGAAGTATAACTTCACTTGTTGCAAAGGTTTTGGTTCTGCAGAAACATTATAATCTTATATTTGTTTATAACTTCTGCCTCTTGATTTAGAAATGGGTATGATGTTACTACTTGTATTCTCTTTTCCCTCGGGGTAAACTGAAGGGCAGAGAAAGGACAACATTTTGCTTAGATCAAAATCCTCTTCATGTAGCTTCTAGCAATAGACAGATAGATGGGAAGGTCCATAAAGATTTGTTTGTGGTGTATATTAGAGTTTGAACTTTCTTCTTAGCGAGAACATGTCCATAAAATGTATTTTCCATGATTATAGTGTAAAAAAAATGCTGGGAGAAGATAAATGTGATGGTTGTGAACAGTCATTACACTAAATCCATTAGTTCAGAAACCTTTATTCAATTTCACCTACACCATGACTAAATGTAGTCATTTAGAAACTGACTCAGTGAAGTTACACCCAGTTTTGCTTACAACTTTGAAGGGACCTGACTGTGGGCACTGCCATTTTACCGGCCTCCACATAATACATCATTTGTGACTGGATTAGTATTGACCTTGTCTAGTTATTTGGTACCTAGTTTCTGTATCCCATACTTAAAAGTATGTATTTTAATTCTTTTCTGCAATTAGTGAAGATGTCAAGGATAGCTGCTATATTTATGAAGTATGTTTCAATAAAGGTTCTTATTATTTTTGGAAAAGTATATTTCTGAAACTATCAGATCATTGATTTTTACTGAGTTAAATGCCATGTATCTTTCAGAGGATCATAAAACAGGAGTTGGAGCCGTGATTTGGGCAGAAGGGAAATCCGTAAGTATGAAAATAACTCCTTAAATATTTAACCTGAATTTTGCTTAAACATAGTTCAGTCTTCAGTGCATCACATTTTATTGGCCCATGGAAATTAATCTTTTTTGTAATGGTACATTAACTAAGTTCTAGAAACATTTGCTCATTTCCTCAGCAATTTTCTAGATAGATGCATTCATTTAGCAAACATTAATAAACACCCTCTACAGGGTAGGTACTGTGCCACAGCAAACTGTAGGGACTTCAGGATCACATTTTATGGCTTCATAGTCTTCTGATAGAGACAAATAAAAACGAGACTAATATGAGTTTAATTATAGCTGATACCATGAGAACACAGAGGAGGAACGTTTACCCCGCTTGGAGAAATGAGTGAAATATTCCTGGTGTTGGAAACATGCGATTCATCCCAAAGAACTAGAGTTCATCAGACAGAAAAGCTGGTAGGACCAGGAGGATAACATGCAAGGGTGAGGGTGAGACAGAGAATGTTGGAAGATGCAGGTGATGTGGCATGTTGGAGTCCAGACCCCTGTGAGGAGTGAGCGACAGATTGGCCTAGACCACATAAAACTCTGTACCCCACATAAACAGCTTTAGGTTTATCCTTTATTATTATTATTATTATTTTGAGTCAGAATCTCACTCTGTTGCCCAAGCTGGAGTGCAGTGGCACAATCACCACAGCCTTGACCTCCTGGGCTCAAGTGATCCTTCCACCTCAGCATCTTAAGTAGCTGGGACTACAGGCACGCACACCACACTCAGCTAATCATTTTTTGTAGAGATGAGGTGTCGCTATGTTGCCCAGGCTGGTCTCCAACTCCTAGGTTCAAGCAACCCTCCCGCCTCGGCCTCACAAAATGCTGTGATTTTAGGTATGAACCCCTGCATATGGCCAGTTTATCCTTTAGACAGTGGCATGCCCTAGCACAGCACTAACCAGTAGAAATGAGAGGCAAGCCACATACATAATTTAAAATTTTCTAGGAGTCATGTTACTAAGTGAAAAAAAAGTGGGCCTATACTCTACTTATCTCTACTCCAACCATTAACTCCTCTGAGTAGAATAGGCTCCTCTGCCAGAAATTTCCATAGCATTCTGTACAACTTATATGTGACACTCATCACAGTTAAATTCTGTGTCCAGTCCCTTACCCTCCCCAGATTATGGAGTCCACGAGGGCAGGGAATCTCTGGCTTGTTGACAGCTGTGTTCCCAGCACCCAGCACAGGTCTGGCCTGCAGCTGGAACTCTCATTTGTGTTTATGAGAGTGCTCAGCAGCCTGTGGACTTAACATCTTTACTTTGTGGGGAATTTCCATTTCCAGTTATCTCTAGAGTAGGCAGGCAGCGTGGTGAAGTGGAGTCAAGCGACGTGGGCTTCACTTCTAGCTGTGTTACTTGCTAGCTTTGTGACCCTGGGCAAATTATTTAATCTCTCTTGGCCTCAGTTTCCTTATCTGTATATTGTCTCTTTAGGTTTTTTCAAGAATTGATCAAATGAAATAATGCATCTAAAACTCAGCATGATGTTTGACATTTAACAAATGCTCAAGATCTATTAATAAGATCATATTTGTGTGCAGGCTTCTGTCAGCTCACTGTAACATGATTTTTGTTAGACTGCTACAGTAATGAGTCTGTTGATACTATCACTTGAGTAGTTAGAATATAGTAAAATTTAATGAGGCTTATAGCATAATCTAAGCTATTTTAAACACTTTGATAAAATATTTCATTTCATTCACATGATTGGTAATGCATTCATATTAACAACTAATATGTCATTGACCAAGAGAAATAAGAGTCATTGAAGTAAAAAATCCTATGATAAACTACACATACAGTAGAGGCTCAATAAATATTGAAGATGAAAGAAAAGTACATGTTTAATTTCCCAGCTAAATCACAATAGCATATTTTTAGCCCAACAATAGAAACTTCAAAGTTATTCTTTAAATGTCTAACTTGTTAACCAGTGGCACAGCGCAGAGCATATAAGAAATGAGCAGTCACTTATTGGGCAGCTGCTATGCATGTAATACTCTAACATATGGTACTTTAAGGGATAGAAAGGAAGTATAAAGCATGGTTTCCGCTCTCCAGTATCTTTTAATCTGTTTGGAGAGAATGTCTAAATCAAGTGAAACAATTTGTGAGTTAAACAAGATAGTATTTAATTAATTTCTGAAAGGACTGCCTTCAGATGATAGGCTATAGGGGTGATCAGCCTTCTGGAAATTTAGCTTTGACAAGACCACAATGCAGCAAGAGGATCTGATATTGTATTTTTTTGATGGCTCAGTTTGTCGCAGAAAATTGAATAAATACTTATTATCCAAAGTATGATAGCAAGCTTTAAAAATACACTGTAGAGTACCTTCTCAGCATGTTGAAACTCACTGTTGTCTGTTTGCTCACTTTCATAGAGAAGTTGTGATGGAACAGGTGCAATGTACTTCATAGGATGTGGTTATAATGCATTTCCTGTTGGCTCTGAATATGCTGATTTCCCACATATGGATGACAAGCAGAAAGACAGAGAAATAAGGAAATTCAGGTACATCATACATGCGGAGCAGAATGCCTTGACATTTAGGTATGACATTCTTTTTTAGTGTACTTTTCTTTAAAATGTAGCAAGGGTTAGTTGAAATTAGCTCTCCTTTTGTTGTAATTTATTTTCTTTTTCAAACTCCAAGAAATTTTCAAAGTAGAACTTAGGTAAAGCTTAGTCTTTACTGCCAGACCTGAAGTCATTGTCATAGACTCTCCAGGTAACCAATTTATTGAGGAAGTCTTTTTTTTTTGTTCCTTTGCTCTCTCCAATATGAAAGTACTTGAAGTTTGTCTTTTAGGGTCTTGCTCAGCATTTCATATTTTTTATGTTAAGTTTTCCTTTGGGCCAGGCAAGCTGGCTAATGCCTATAATCCCAGCACTTTGGGAGGCCAAGGCAGGAGGATTGCTTGAGGCCAGGAGTTCAAGACCATCCTGGCTAACATAGCAAGACCCCCATCTCTAAATAAATTAATTTAACTAATTTTATTTAATAAATAAAATAAAGATCTTCTTTGTTTTCTAAGTCTGGAACACATATGTTCATATTTATGAATACAGTCACACACTGCTTAATGAAGTTTCAGTCAGTGATGGACCACATATATGATAGTGCTTCCATAAGATTATAAGGAAGTTGAAAACTTCCGATCACCTAGTGATATAGCCATTGTAACGTTGTACAGCAACACATTCTCTTTTCTATGTTTAGATCCACAAGTACTTCCCATCATATTACAGTTGCCTACAGCATTCAGTGCAGTTACATGCTGTACAGGTGTGTAGCCTAGGTATGTGGTAGGCTGTGCCACCTAGGCTTGTGTAAGTATACTCACAGTGATGTTCACACAATGCTGAAACCACCTATCAACACATTTCTTGGAATGTGTCATCGTTAAGCAATGCAGGACTGTATATCGACTTTATTATGAACTAAATTGCTTTAAAAGAGCTTTTGTTTGAGATTATAACTGGCATCACCTCCTTCTCATGTTAATTTAGATCATTTCTACAAATATTTCTCGGTGCTTAGCATTGAAGGGATGAGGTTAGGGAATTGAACAGCTGAACAAGACATGACTCCTGTCCTGGAAGAGCTTCTAATGCAGTAGATGAAGCAAGACTGCATCCATTCTGAGGGAGAGGCAAACACATGAGCTGTGGACATTCATGGGCTGCTACCAACAAGAGGGGAAAGCTTTGTGAAGAACTGGTGTTTGAAGCTGAACTGTAAAGAACTGTAAAGCTGAACTGTGTTTAAAGCTGAACTGGTGTTTGAAGCTGAACTGTAAAGTTGCTAGAACTGTGGCAATTGGAGTTGCTCCCTTGAAGAGAAGACAATTCTTGCTTTTAGGATAAGCAATTTTCTAGAAGTAAGAAAATGCAGTGTGTGTTCAGGAACATGAATATTCCAGTTATTAACGGCTGAAATGTGGATATGCAGGAAATGCAGCTCACAGGATAGACAGGGACTGGACAGGAGAGGACTCTGAGTTCAGGCTGTGTTGTGTTGGCAGTAGGGAAATGGAACGGCATTGACCCGGCCACACTCGATAGACTGTATGGGTAGCAAGTGTATTGTTTGAACTGATTAGATGCATAGGATTCTGTTTTCCTTGTCCAGGTGAACAGAAATGAAAGTCACTGCTAGGGAGAAGGCTATGGAAGACTGGTGGTGGCAGAATTGAAGACAGCTAACCAAAATTGGTGCAAACCACAGAACTGGGAAGTCAGTCCTTATAGCCTCAGATGAGAGATGTCCTTAGTCCTAAACTACCCCCAGCATGCAAAATTTCACCAGAAATGTCCTCTATTATTTTCCACCCTCTTCAGTACAGATTTACTTGCTTCATTTTGTATGGAGGTGTGAATATGTCAAATTGAACCTTCTTAAATAAAATTATTCTATGAAAGGCAAGAGGTAATGGATCTAGAACTCAAACCAGAATTTTAATATTAATGTATTCATTTAGGAAGCATTTATTGAGCATTCATTAGGTACAAGATAGGGCTATGTCTTTTGACTACCATGATGAGTTAACATCTAATCAGAAAGCATTGTTCCCTCTCTCTCTCTCTCTCTCTCTCTCTCTCTCTCTCATTCTCTCTCTTTTTGATCTCTGTTTTTCTGTTTTCATTTACTCTTGTAATCTTATACTGAACATCTTAGATGATAAATGATTTTTAGTTATAATAATTGTTTTCACCTGGGCGCAGTGGCTCAAGCCTTTAATCCCAGCACTTTGGGAGGCCGAGGTGAGGGGATTGCCTGAGCCCACAGGTTTGAGAACAGTCTGGGCAACTTGGCAAGACCTATCTCTACAATAAATCAAAACATTACCCAGGCGTGGTAGCATGTGCCTGTAGTTCCGACTATTAGGAAGGCTGAGGTAGAAGGATCACCTGAGCCCATCAGGTCGATGCTGGGGTGGCCGTGAGCATGCCACTACCACTGCACTTCATCCTGGGCTATGGAGTGAGACTCCAACTCAAAAAGATAATATTATTATTACTATTTCCAGGTTGCATTTTAATATTTTTATGGGCTTACATTCACTAATTCAGCAAACTCAATCTTAATGTTTAAATATTTCTCTAAAAAATAACTTAACCAGGCATGGTTGCTTATGCCTGTCATCACCGCACTTTGAGAGGTGAAGACGAGAGGATTGCCTGGGCCCCAGGGTTTGAGACCAACCTGGACAACTTGGCAAGACTTCAACTCTACAATAAATCAAAAAAATTAGCCAGGCATGGTGGGTATGCACCTGTGGTTCCAGCTACTTGGAAGGATGAGATGGAAGGATTGTCTGAGCCCAGCAGATGAAGGCTGTGGTAGCCATGAGCATGCCACTGCACTCCAGCCTGGGTGACGGAGTGAGGCTCCAAATCTAATTTTAATAATAATAATAAAATAACTCTTTCAGGAGCTACCTTCCTGATATTTTATAATTTTTTTTGTAGGTGTCAAGAAATAAAACCAGAAGAAAGAAGCATGATTTTTGTGACAAAGTGCCCATGTGATGAGTGTGTACCTTTAATTAAAGGTGCAGGCATAAAACAAATCTATGCAGGAGACGTAGATGTTGGAAGAAAGAAGGCAGACATCTCTTACATGAGGTTTGGGGAACTTGAGGGTGTTAGCAAATTTACCGTAAGTAAATACACATTTGTTTAAGGTGTACTTTTTATTATGTTGTTAGGTACCCTGCAGCATACGGAGGGGGGACCCAAAAAACCCAGAATTATCTTTTGGAGGGCAGGCCTCTTGTAGTGTAGGCTTCCCCCGCTAGGTGAGTGTTCTAGGAACCACTGGCATCAGTGTACCAACTAGCACTGTTATGAGAGGCTGCATTTCGCATCAGTGAGTTTTCTTTTTGGGAGATTCTTTAAACATGTTTGCTCATTTCTTGAAGTGTGATCTACAAGCTCACATGCCCACCCCGCACTGAGTGTTCAGCAGTTTTTGACCAAAAATGGCATGACCTCTATGCCTCACCCTCCCTATTCGCCCTATCTCGCCCCAAGTGACTTTTTTGTTTGTTTGTTTCCCTGGATGAAAAAAGGTCTTAAAGGGAAATGTTCTGTCAATGTGGAAAAGGTGAAACAAGAAATGGCAGAAGCACTAAGGGGCATCCAAATTGAGTTCAAAAACTGTTTTGAGGAGTAGAAAAGGCTTCTCAATAGTTGTAATGCATCAAACGGAGAGTATTTTGAAGGTGACTGAAGTTTAAACATGTAAGAATAAATACATAATTTCTTAATAAATAAATCCTGGGTCTTTTGGGGTCCTCCCTCATATGTAGGTGATTCTCCCCCTTTTAAAAACTTTCAACAAATTACTATCATTGAGTTTATTTTTCTGTGCAAGCATTTAGCTCACTACAAATGTTCAGCTAAGGATCCCTGCCTTATGAATTTACATCTCTATATAGGACTGTACCTTGTTGATTTTATGTATCTTAAGCCAGTGGGTCCTTTGGTGCCATCTGGTGGCTGATAAAATAAAATGTTTTCTCCGCCCATCACCCCTACCAGCCCTCTTTTCTGGTTTGGCGTAGTGGATAGAGGTGAAAATAGTGAGTGGATTACCTGAGCCCGCGGGTTTGAGACCCGCTTGGGCAACTTGGTGAGACCTCATCTCTACAATAAATCAAAAAATTAGCCGGGTGTGGTAGCATGCGCCTGTGGTTCCAGCTACTTGAAAGGCTGAGGCGGAAGGATCACTGGAGCCCAGCAGGTCAAGGTGGCGTTGGCCAGGAGCGGCCACTGCACTCTAATCTGGGTGACGGAGTGAGACACCAACTCAAAAAAAAAAAAAAAAAAATTCCCAAAGACAGGAAAAATTGTGTGTGACTCGTGAAAAAAACCTTGGAATGACACATGAAGGATGATAGGAAAGTCATTCTGAGGCAGGATGCTTTACTGA